TAGTAGTAGTAGTAGTAGTAGTAGTAGTAGTAGTAGTAGTAGTAGTAGTAGTAGTAGTAGTAGTAGTAGTAATAGTAGTAGTAATAACTATAATTATAATAATCGTAATAATTATATAATAATAATAGATTGTTTTTTTAATGTAAATCTATATAAAGCAAAACAAAATTTAGAGATACATTTTTTTAGATATTCCACATCATTTTTAAATTATGTCTTATATAAAAATATAAGACATTTATATATTATATATTTATGATTTATGTTATTTATCTATCAAAATTTGGTATTTCACAGACTTTTCTATATATGTATGTATATATATAATGTATAATATATAATAGATGTACATTTTTGTTTATCTTCTATATAATATAGTACAAATTTATTAATTCACCTTGATTGGTGTTGATTTGTCGATTTTATTTTGTTTTTAAAAATCATGACGACGCATATACTGTAAAAAATAAAAAGGAAAAAAAAAATAATATATATATAAATGTAAGCTATATTCAATGTACAAATTTCTCTACAAAAAATGAGAATCAATCAAAATAAAACATGAAAAAATGTTACGTTGATCTACGTTAAAAATCTTCACGATAATTTCGTGAACGTATAATTATTAACATTTAACAATTTGCGTGACTGACGGATTTCTTAAAAATTAAATTATTTTATTACAAAATTGTACATAGCGAAAAGTGACATATTTTGTTTTTTTCATTCGTAATAATCAACTGCCCCATTGATTGCATCACATTTTAAAAAAAAAGCCATGGGATAATCGATCAACGAGTTAATATTTCCATGATCATTGTACAATGATTGGAATTAGATGTAATCTAGAATTAATATATATGCTTGTATGTATGTACAAATATTTCATATTGTATGTATATAATAATCATTGATAACGAGAAATATTTGTTGCGGCAGTCCTCGTTTCTTATTTTTATCATTAGAATTTCATTAATAATAATATATGTACGAATAGTACAATATATTTTCGCCTATCTCTAATAGTTTTATGTAAATAAAAATTATCTGCTAAATACATCGATCAGTCTCACAATCGTTATATCTTTAATAAATTGATGTAAAAGTTTTCCTTTCTCTCTTGTATTTACTGCACAATTGCAATGGGCAAATCATCATTATCATCATCATCACTACCACCACCACCATCACCATTATCATATAACTAAGACGTTCTTGCGAGATCGACGTTATAAAACATATATTACATTTATATGTTTTTTCTATGCTATATCATGCTTCAAAATTGTCATTCCTCTTTAATCTGTCTCTTTCTCTCTCAATTTGTATAAATTTAAAAAAAATGTCTAATGCGATATATAAATATTTATAGATGAAACTTATTAAAAACAAAAAAAAAACAAAAAAGAAAAAGAAAATAAAAAAAAATTGAAAGAAAAGGAACAAAAATATATACAAGAACAAACACCGGCATGTAATGCATAAGATAAGAACGCACGAAAACATTCAAAATATTCAGACCGAGAATTGCACCATAATTTTTCAATACGTGCATATAAAAACATGCAATTATATAAATTATTTCTCAGTAAATTGCTTAATATTATTGAATGTAAATAAACATTGTAAATGGAAAAAAAAAAGTAGAAAAGAATTACCTTTTTCTTATCAAATAGATTTTTGTATATAGATCGTAAAATCAATTCAAGGATTTTTTACGTCGAGTTGTTACGATCCTCTTTTTTCATTTTTTTTCCTTTTTTAAATTTGTTACACAAAAACATAGAAAAGAAGTTTACACAGAATAATTTTTTCGGAAAAATTGTTCATGTTTCTCATCGCAAAATATTTAAATATCGGAATCTGCCAGGTCACTGTAGTAAAATACTTGCACCATTATTTTTTTTTTTTATTTTGTATTCTCGCTCACGGATTCTTTCTTTCTTTTTCCCTGTTTTTCTCTTTTAATTAACTCTTGTTTTATAAAATATAATAAAAAAAAAAAAAAATGTAATTTGAAATCAACGATTTGCCAAAATCACGCAGTTCTTTTATCAAAATCACATTTTCATCATGTAACATGTACTTTGTTTTTTTTTATATTTTAAATATATTATAATATTAACGTATTCAACATATTAAAACGAATTTTCATGTCGTGAATTTTGATGTAATAAAATGTTAATATAAAAATCAATTTATGTTAATTTTTTTCATAATTTGATTTTCTTCTATTTATATTTTCCCTAGAAAAAAATAAAAAATGACATATTGTAAATTTTGAATAAATTTTGTATAATATCTTCATTTTTTTAAAATAATTATAATAATAATGTTTGTAAGATTTATTGAAGTCATATGGTCATAAATTTTTAGATTTATCACTTTAAAATGAATATTTTATTAATATTTTTTTTTTAGACAATAATTTGTATATTTATAATTAAATATTATAAAAAAAAGTGGGAAAATATAGAAAAATAGAGATAAAGAGAAAAAAAGAAAGATAGAAAGAGGAAGACGAATAAAATTTTTAAGTACATAATTCTTCTTGTAACATTCTCGTGATATTCTTGATATTTTTCAATAGATCTCACAAACAATATATTTAAAAGTATTATTTTCTTGAGACTTTAAATCAACATATATTATTATATATATCTTTGTAACAAAAAAACATCAAATTTAAGTTACATGTTAGCAATGAATAGAAATTTCGATTATTCTATTTTTAGAATATATCTAAATAATCGATTATCCTTTTTTTTTTAATTTCAACTTTATACATTATATCTATGTAAGATTATTTGATGTTCTTCTGCAGCTATTTACAATAGATCGCATGTATATCTTTCTCTAGCTGCATATACGATATATCATATATATTCTTTTAATTAATAAAATTTTAATGTATTATCCACATTTTCATTTAAAAACGCACGCAATTATTTGTATTCTTTATATATCACGTAACTTTTACTTTGAATATGAGACTACTTTTGTTTTTATTACAAAATTTCCTTATATAAACTTATTTTAATGCTTTTCTTTGAATGCTGTTCAATCAATCTGTGGGCACCATTTATAATAATAATTTTCTTTTCTCTTAAAATGTAAATAATTCAATAATAGATTAATATATATTAGATATACGAGCTAATCGAAAATAAATAATTCATTGAATTGCCAGCAGATTGACTTGGACTCAAATGTCCTCTTATGTCCCTCTTTCCTGGCAGTGCTAAACTTTATTCCATAAAAAGCAAAGATTAATTTGTATAAAAATATATATAAATTCATATAGAAAAGGAATAGTATGTATTGCAAGTAAATAAACTTACAAAATAAATAAGTTAAACAAGTATTTCTTATTTTCATTTTGTTAAGGAAGGATCATAGAAAGTTTATAAAGATTATATTAAAAAAATTATATATTATGTATTGATTGAGTATATTATAGAAATCTTAATTGTAATTTGAGCTTTTCAAGTTGCAAAATTTATTTTCACTTAAAAAAAAATCAATATACAAAATGCTAAATATACATTACAGATCTATGATCCAACCTTTATTCTTGATATATATATTAATTATTATGTAAATCATAACATATGTGAGTTACAACAAGAACATAGTTATTAATATTCACAGTAAAGAGATCAGAAAGTCTCCTAGTCCAAAGAAATGTACAATTAAAATTTGTAGAAGGACAAGGTAATTAACATTGTCCTTAGACAAATCATCATTTCGATGTTTGATTTTATATGAAAAACTGTTATTATTTCCTTGTTAAATAACGATTGTCAATGAGCTTAAGCCAGATGGGCAGCAAAAATGCAGCGTTTTGAAATTGTAAATCAGATATAATATATAAGAAAAATGATGTAAGAAAAAATGTAAGAAAAATTTTACTATAAAGATTGCTACTACCCCAGAAGTATATTAATATTAAAAGTTAATTATAAAATAACTTTGTATTATGCATGATATTATATAAAAACACTATATATTGCACATTCCTAATTTTAATTTTGAACTTATTAGTCAAATATTTGAATAAAAATGTATATTGGTCAAATTACTTACTTTCAATATAAAATAAATGGATATATTTTTCATATCTTTGGCTTTAGTATTAAGATTATTTTAACTTCGGATACAAAATAATTAATTTTTTCTTTTTATAATATCAAATTTATATATTTTTTTAGATGCATTTTATAAAATATCATTTCTAAAAACATTGTGATCACTCCTGGGTTAGAAATATATATTTTAATTTAGATTATCCTTGTGCGCATAAGATTATGTATTAACTAAAAAACAAGTGATAAAAAAAAAAAAAAAAAAGAAAAGAAACGAAAATGAATATTCCAATGATCACAGAAATCTGTTTCTAACAGGTACATTCATGTGCTTTTGTTGAATTATGTGCCCATCTTTGTAAACTAGGAACTAACAGTTTTCACTTATTTAGCATTACTTATTTCATATGTTGATACTCTGTCAATAAATTGTTTTTATATTAATGTTGCAGTCACCCTGAAATATTATAATGAATTTTTACTGG